ACTCTATATTTATACAGTGCTTTGCTTTACTCTCCATTAAAACCTCTTCATTATTCAACTTTTGTAGGCTGTTCTTCGGAGCTTAAGGTCTCTCTTCGCTCTCTTGCTTCTCTCTACGCTAGTCGTTTTATTCTTGAATTTTGCTTTTATCTGTTTGGATACAGAGAAAAAATGAAGTAAAGTGCACTGAATCTGATTTTTTTTTCAACGTTTGTATAGTGTATTTCTCAGGTCTTTGTATGCTTCGGATTTTCGGATTTTCAGGTCTTTGTATCGTCTCTTCTTTGTTATTGTTGTTGTTATTTGTTAGATCTGTGGTGAGTTATTGATGAAATGAGAAAAATGAACTAAATATTGTTGCTGCTATTTTATAATGCCTTTTTTTGCTCTTAAAATTTGATAAATTGTTATTTCTTCAGTAAGTTTTACTGTTTTCTTTATTTTATTTTTTGGATTTATAAATCTGAAATTGTCGCTTACTAGCTATTTCTGGATTATATATTTAGCTCTACTATTTTTCGCACTTGTTTTTAGTTTTTAAAAGTAGATCTAGATTTTTTTTAGTTTATAAAAGTAGATCTAGAACTTTAACTGTAATTTCATGGTCAATGCATTGTCTGTCCATTTTTTCCCGTCTAAGTGTAAGTTGCTAGCCAACTATGTACTGGTTTACTGTTTGACTTTGCATAGATAAAGGATTTTCTGTGCTATGTGTTTATTAGATTCTTCTGCTGATGATTCTGTTTATACATGGAAAGAATTGTGCCAGTTCGGTTTTCATGTTATTTTCAAAGACTAGGAAAGAAAACACGGGAAGATCTGAGGTCTTAGCTAATTGGATTAATTAGAATACACTAAATCCATTATTTTTATGCGTGGTTCTTGGACTGTGTCTTGCTAAAGTTTCTGATGTTCGATTTGTTTTATGAGGTTTTCATCTGTTGTTTGAACTTATACTTTGTTTAACTATTAGTGATAGTTTGATTGTATATTATTCTTGAATGGTGGCATTAGACTAGATTGGGGTTTCAATTAAAGGATTATGATTGCATGTTGACATTGTGGCTAATAAGTTGAGGTTTCTCTAGTTGAATGTATTGTGTGTTATCTGCCCTTTCATGCTTTATTTTGATAGCTGAAGTTTCCTTTTGACTTATGGGTTGGTTGAAAAAACAATCAATTTTAGAATGCTCACTTAGTTGATGCATCTTCGATGCTATTGAAAATGCATTTACGATTTACCCTCTTCTCTGGCTTGAATGGTGTATTGATTAGCGTGCGATTAAGGTACCATTTTCTTCGAGGATTCGATCTTTGTTTTGCTTCCTATGTGTAAGAGATCAAACCCTTGTATGTTGAAACTTGATTCTCTACCCATTCAGTTGGTGATGAGGAGCTAACTTCTAATGATTGCATGTTGTCATGCTGTGAATGTAAAAATTAGCTTCATGCCTTGTATTGGTGCTTAGCTTACGAAGCTTTAAATTTCTCTTTTCTGCAAGGCTTTCATTGGGCATATTGAATAAATTTTTTTAATGGGGTTCAGTTTTACTTTGACGTCTTCTGATTGAACTTGTTTTCCCTAGTTAACAATGAGTTTGTGTCAATCTTAATCCTTAAATGATAGTTTTCGTGGGGCTCGAACTTCCTTGTTAAGGTTACACCCCTAGATCACCAAGCGAAGTGTCTTGCTCAGTAGTTTTATCTCATTTTGTCACGTGAAGCTAATTTGTTACTTTTAGAAGTCTGAAAACCTTAAATTGTAAATGTTGACACTTTTAGAAGTCTAAAAGTCCCGAGACTTAAATGCTGTATGTAGCGTTTTATATATACTTAAAATTTCTCTCATTGTCGTTGCAGAGGAAGAGGCCTTTTTCACTCCCACAATGTCAGATCTTCAAGCACCCCTTCGTCCTAAGAGGAAGAGGAGCTTGGTGGACTTCTTGGTCCAGTTCCGTTGGATTTTAGTTATTTTTGTTGTCCTCCCTTTTTCCGCCCTGTATTACTTTCTCATATATATTGGAGATGTCAGATCCGAGATGAAGCCCTACAAGCAGCGCCAGAAGGAACATGATGAAAACGTTAAGCAAGTAGTGAAGCGACTCAAGCAGAGGGATCCAAAAAAGGACGGTCTTGTGTGCACAGCCCGTAAACCATGGGTTGCTGTTGGAATGCGGAATGTAGACTATAAGAGAGCTCGCCATTACGAAGTTGATTTGTCTGCTTTCCGTAACATCCTTGAAATCGATAAAGAGAGAATGATTGCAAGGGTCGAGCCACTTGTAAACATGGGGCAGATCACCCGAGTCACGGTCCCTATGAATCTTTCCCTTGCTGTGGTTGCAGAGCTTGATGATCTTACAGTCGGTGGTCTCATCAATGGCTATGGGATCGAAGGAAGCTCCCACATCTATGGCCTGTTTTCAGATACAGTTGTAGCTTATGAGATAGTTTTGGCTAATGGCCGTGTTGTTAGAGCTACCAAGGACAACGAATATTCTGATCTCTTCTATGCTATCCCATGGTCTCAAGGAACCCTCGGTTTTCTTGTTGCAGCTGAGATCAAACTTATACCCATTAAAGAATACATGAGGCTGACCTACACTCCCGTAGTGGGGAATCTGAAAGAGCTTGCACAAGGTTATATGGACTCCTTTGCGCCCAGAGACGGTGATCAGGATAATCTAGCGAAAGTTCCCGATTTTGTAGAAGGCATGGTCTACACGCCCACTGAAGGTGTGTTCATGACCGGGAGATATGCCTCAAAAGAAGAGGCCAAGAAGAAGGGGAATAAGATTAACAATGTAGGTTGGTGGTTTAAACCCTGGTTCTACCAACACGCGCAGACAGCATTAAAGAAGGGAGAGTTTTAGAGTACATTCCGACAAGGGAATATTACCACAGGCACACGAGATGTTTGTATTGGGAGGGGAAGCTCATCCTTCCGTTTGGAGATCAATTTTGGTTTAGGTTCCTCTTGGGCTGGTTGATGCCACCCAAGGTTTCCTTGCTCAAGGCTACTCAAGGTGAAGCTATAAGAAATTATTACCATGAGATGCATGTCATTCAAGACATGCTTGTTCCTCTTTACAAGGTTGGGGATGCCCTTGAGTGGGTCGACCGAGAGATGGAGGTAAGTTTTATGTTCATGCACTTGTTTTCCTTTCGTTATCTCATCATCGTTTTATGTTACTATCATCCGTCTCACTCTTGTAGTTAATATATTTCTTATGACAAAATGATTATATTTTGTGGATTATCTTGAATTCTTGATGAAATAGTAATGGGTGTTCAGTTAGGGATGGGCACAGGACGGGGCAGGGTGGGCGGTTTTTTGCCTCGAGTATGAATTTAAGAAAACGGTCTTATAAGATTGGATCCGTTGAATTCGAGTATTTTTTCCGTCCTAGTGTTCTTCCCGGTAAAATTTTGCTTATAGTAAATTGTTTGTTCTCCAGATCTATCCCCTCTGGCTCTGCCCGCACCGACTGTTCAAGCTTCCAGTCAAGACAATGGTGTATCCCGAACCAGGCTTCGAGCAGCATCACAGGCAGGGCGATACGCATTACGCTCAGATGTTCACGGATGTCGGGGTCTATTACGCGCCGGGACCGGTGCTGAGGGGTGAAGTGTTTGATGGTTCGGAGGCAGTTCGTAAGATGGAGAAATGGCTGATCGAAAACCACAGTTTCCAGCCGCAGTACGCCGTCTCCGAGCTGAACGAGAAGGATTTCTGGAGGATGTTCGACGCTGATCACTACGAGCATGTCCGAAGGAAGTACGGAGCCGTCGGAACATTCATGAGCGTGTACTACAAATCCAAGAAGGGAAGGAAGACGGAAAAGGAGGTGCAGGAAGCAGAACAAGCCCACCTCGAAACCGCGTATGCAGAGGCTGATTAGTCACTACGGGTGATCATTGGTAGAATGTAGCGCTTTCGGTGACGAATCTTTGCATCGTCTTGTCATCTCTTTGTTTTAGTATTTATGTCATCGAACTCAGTGTCAGTACCGTTGTTATTTGATGATATGTTTCGAGTATCGCTTATTAGCCACTATCGAGGTCGAAATTTTCGGGTTCGAGTTCAGTGCCTAACCTTTAGACAAATTATACTCTTTTTTAAACTTATGATTTTCGATCTAATCGGAGTGTTTTTATATAGAGATGATAACGCACCATCAATTTCCTGCCTTGTGTTTCCATGCATAAAAGGGAAACTAAATTTTGGCTCAAATAACTACTAAATATGATAAATAATTAATTAGAATATGTGACTAGTGTTTATTTTAGGCTACATTTTATGATTAAATACTCATTGTTTATTTGTCTTTATTGTTGATTTGGAAGTCTTTACATAATTTTTGTGCATACTATGGCTTTGGAAAATTTGTTTAGAATGACTAAAAACTGCACTTTTTGTTTTGGAGAAGGCTAGAACTAAGGATTAGACTCAAAAAATTAATTTTTTTAATTTCGAGTTATTCGAGTCAATTCGAATTATAAATTCGATTTTTAAGTTCGAGTCGAGTTGAAATTTTCAGTTTTCGAATTACTCGTAAAACAAAAATTTTGACCAATTATTTTGATAGTTTTACAATTTAGTTACTGATTTCGTTATTTCTTCAATTTCTCCTTCATTTTAAGTCTATTTTTTTACCAAATTTGAAAACATGCTCCTAAACCATAGTAGAATATATGTATACTTTCAATTCTTCTTTTTGATAACATTTTTTTTTTATTTTTCAATTTAGTCATTCAATTTTTCATAATCTCTTAATTTTTTTAATTTGTCATTTATTTTAAATCCGTTTTTTTATCAAATTTGAGCCACATGCTCCTAAATCATAGTAGAATGCATGTGTACTTTCAAAACTCTATGGTTGAAAGATCATTTTGAAACTTTTAATAGTTAAAGAACTTAATAAAACAATAATTAAATTAAATTAGTCCATAAAATCAACTTTAAAATATATTTAAAAAATCTAAAATTGGTTTCCTCATCACTAGCTTCAATCTTTTTTTTTTTTTGTACTAAAGAAAAATCACTTGGTGTGTCTCTTAGGTGAATTTCGAAGGCCGGGAAAATATCTGGAAATAGAATATGGGCAGCCAAAGAACCTGAGAATATTTTGGCAATCTTTTTCTTCAATGTGATCACCACCTCCACTTGCCTGTGAACTCAAATGGCCGACGTAAGTTTTGCCTTCATATATATAACTCAGCTGCTGCCACAAAAGAACGCCCAAACCGATCTGCAGTGAAACGCTCGAAATAAACAGATAAACGAGAACGAGCCCCCTGGCCGACAGTTGAACCGACGAGCTCGCGAAAGCGATAATAACTTCCTTGAATGCTTTAGTTGTTGCTATATGGCTACTGAAACCGTTCAAGTGCCCGATGGATCTGTATTTTACGGGAGGCCAGATGTGTAACCCTGCATATGTGGACATGATCGAAACGTAGACAGTACTGAAAATGGCTGCAAAGAGGAAGGCGATGAAGTGCCGATGATTTGATGCTCCAACACAGTTCCCTATCTGTATGCAACAAAAGCAAAAGGAAATCATTCCCGGTTTCAGGACATAATACCGGATTCTCCATCGACAATTTCAAATATAGCTTATAAAGGAACACTGAAAATATGCTTAACACGTACGAAAGGACAGTGATGATCCATATCCAAAACGCATGTTCTACATGAATTGCAGTGATGTGCTCTTGGTGATTTCGGCTTTGAACAATGGTGGCAGAAGGTATAGTTGTCGAGATCACCTTTCCCAACGACTGGATAGCTACCCCAAAATACAGTTGGAGGTGTGCCGGCACATCGGAATGATGATAAACAGAATGTCGAAACAGTAGCCGCGGCCAAGATCACTGTTAAGATGGAATGAACAATCCCAAGCGTATAGCTGATAGAGAAAACAACCGGATACACCGCCCATACCCCACCACCTGCATTTTCATGTGATCATATTATGATCAGAAATATAAAAAAATTCCCAACACATTATATAGAGCAGTTCATAATTTGGAGGTCTCCTACAGAAGCTACTCTCAACCTGGTGTTGGGGGCAGCCTACTATCCTACCTCCCACTTACCCCATTATATATGGGCAAAAGGGTCAGCTAATTATATAGTGCAGTTTATAACATACAAAGATTTCTTAAACGTCTGAGATCCAACTATGAATCTAACTACACAAAAGTTTCCACAGCCTTAACAACTCCATTTTGGAATAACTATTTTGTAAATTCGGAAAGATCAAACAGTCAAATCTGAAAATTTTGATGTTCAAGTTAAATGAAACCAAATAAAAGCGATGATCTGGAAGCAAAATACAGAGCTTCAGGGTATCAAAGGCAATATCCTAATATTACTCAAGCCCCAAGTCTCACTGAAGATGCATCTTTTAAGTGGATGAGAGTTTCAATTTTTGTGTAAACCACAAGGGGAGAAAAAGAGAGAGAGAGAGAGAGAGAGAGAGAGAGAGCATACATATCACAAAGAGAATAAACGTGAGAAGAATAATAACAAAGCACCGATCTCGCATGCGCCTTCCCCAAAGCCACTTGTTTTCGGGTTTATTTACATTTTGATTTGTAATGGCTCCACACCAACCACACTTGAAAACAGGTGCATAAGATGGAAGGAGGAGGCGCAATCCACAACCCCAGCATGTGATGTTGTGATCCTCGGCGACTGTTGTTACAAAGTAATCCTACAATTGGAAAAAAAAATAGATCAAACCAAAAACAGTGTTCAGTTTGCTTCAGTCAGACATTAAGGAAATCTACTTTTTCAATGTACATGCTCAGTGTCATAGAATGCAAGATCATAGAATTATTCAAACTGATTTTTACATTTCTGTTGCATTTCAATCATTCACCTAATATTTTTCTTCGAAACTTTACCCTTTATTCCCTAATCAAAATCCGATTTCCTTCAATCTTTCACAGTAAAAAACAGCAAATCATAAAAAAGGAAATGGAAAACTTCAAACATTTTACTTTGCTCATCACTTCTAGTTCTTGTTTGATAAAACAGTTCAGCAGAAGGGACTACTTTGAATGTTCTGAAAATAAATATAAAACACATGAGCAAGCCTATAGTTCCGTACTTCTTGCTTTTCCAGCACAATCGTAAAATAAACCGAATCCTACCGAAAACCACATCGAACATTAGATAAAACCCTACATTTCAGAAAGCTGGACAAACTCCTAGAGATTACCTTCCTAGAAAGCAGGTAAATTCAATTTATAGGAATAATATTTCTTTTTTTTTTTCCTTTTCCTCTATTCAATTTCTTTCTCATTTTTTTTTTATCAGATTGGATTATTTGTTCCTTCTAGATTGAAAGAAACACAGAATTTGCATTCTGCAATTCAAACTCTTAACTAGAATAGCTTTGTAACAAATTTTCCTGGAAAATTACCATGAAAGAAAGTCAACAGTCTACAATTAATGAAATATACCGAAGAACATTTAACCATAACTAAAATTCCTTCATAAAAAGAAAAATAATAATAAAACATTCCGCGTATCCCAGCTTAGTTACCTATACGCAAAATTATTAATAACGAAAACAAATTAACAAAAAAGCGTTACAAATAGAGCAAGAAATAAAAAGAATAGGGGAAGAAGAAGAAGAATAGAACTTACCTTGCTCGACTCAGCCGACTCAGCCATGATTCTCGAGCTCTTTGGAAGTTGAATTAAGGTTTTTGCCTTTTAGTTTGAGTTGTATTATGATAGTTTTCTATCAGTCTTTTACTCTACTAGATGTCTTCTTCCATCTATCTTTATTCGTCGCCTGCTTTGTTGAAAAAGAAAAAAACAATTGAAATTTGTTTTAGAATATATATATGTATATCTTAAGACCATGATCTGGTTTATTGGGCCTTAGCCCAAAAACATAAATTTTCAAATATTTTTTAGTTAATTACTACATCATATATTCTCTAATTGGTGGGGTCGTGTGATCGAGTCCCACGGAGGGTATTTCATAATTCGGAGGTCTCATACGGAAGCTGCTCTCAACTTGGTGTTGGGTGCAGCCTACTATCGTACATCCCCTTACCCCATTACATATGAGAATAAGGGTTAGCTAATTTTTATATCCTCAAGTTATGGTATTTATTTTAAATTGTATCTTAAACTTTTAATAAATTAATTTCATCCTCAAACTGTAATTCTCATTCTAAAATAGTCCTCCATCTTTTGAATGTTTTTATTTTATCCTTAAACTATGATCCTCATTCTAATGTTGTCTCCAAACTTTTCAATGTTCAATTTCATCTGTAACTATTAGTATGTGCTAATCACAACTTCAATTAATAAAACAATTAGGCCAAGCTATTATTTTGTTTTCTGAAAAAATAAATAAATAAAATTTATGTTAAGTTATGGTTGAACTGATTATCCGTTAGGATGAATTTGGTGATAAAATTGAAAGATTCAATTAAGGACTAATTTATAATGAAAGTCCTAATTTTGGGATAAATTAAATTATTCAAAATTTTAAATATCAATTAAAATAAGAATCATAATTTGAAGAGGTGTGATACAATTTAAATAATAATGATTATTTTTTCCTCAAAATATCACAAGATTGTCGATAGAGTTTGGGTTAAATGACCAAATTGATTAAACTTTTAACATTGAGATTTAAATTTGATAAATTATGTTGAATTATAATAAAATTGAAGAATAATTTTATAAAAACTACTAATATTATATCAAATTTAACAATAAATAGTTGCACAAATCAAGCGATCTAAGTGATTAAATGAATGATTATTCCTAGAGATTCTGTTATTTGTGCTTTCATTATCAAAAGGTTGATACTCTTTAAAAACATATACCATCGCTTGTAAGTATGGTTGTTTATTGACGACTAACCATATCGTTTAGTTTAAACGATCGGTTAACCATTATAACGATTATGAGATTTTGCTAATCGTAACCTAACAGTTAAGAAATGATTAACCGTTATTAACAGTTCAATTACAAGTTAACTTATGGTTAACTTATTATAATTATTTGTCAAAAAATTTCATAATACATACTACAAAAAATGTAGCACTTAACACATAATTAAACTGGTTTAAATGAATAAAATAAAAATGTATAATACTTAACACATAATTACATCGGAGTAAATAAAATAAAAAAAAAGTGTAGCACTTAACATACATTTACACCGATGTAAGTATGTACGTCTCCCAATATCTTGGTACCTAACAATAAACACATAATTATATTGATGTAATTATGTTTATGTATTTTCAAAGAAAAAAAATTAAAAATATATATATTAAGTTAGTTGTGTACAAATTTTTATTAAAAATATATATAATAGAAATAATATTAAATTATTTGTGTAAAAATACAATAAATTACAAATATAATTTATAAACTTAATTTATTCGCGATTAACCAACGGGTTAACCATTTATTAATAAATTGTAACCATAATTTTAACTATTATTTTTAGCGGTTCAATTAACCAAAACCATTTAGTATTAATCGTTCAGAAATGAATATCTAACTCAGTTGGTAGAACATAAGGTTCTTAACCTTGAGGTCTTGAGATCGAGTCACACGGAGGGCATTTCATAATTTGGAGATCTCCCACGGAAATTGCTCTCAACCTGACGTTTGGGACAACCTATTATCTTACTTTCCCTTACCCCATTACATATGAGAATAAAAGTCAACTGATTTATTTAGTATTAACCGTTCAATTAATTAATTTGTTAAATATAATATTTATACTAGTTAACGATTACAAGTTTTTTTAACACCCTTACTAAGGACCACATATTAATAAAAAAATAACAAAAATATAGAAAACCATATTATTAATAATAATTTATTAGAAACATATTTTTAAAGATAAAAACAGTCACAGTAAATGATTGAGTGATAAAAAAAAGCAATATTTTATAAGAATTAAGAGGAGAAAAATAGCGTGGAAAAAAGACGAGTAATAATACCAATTAAAGTCGTGAGAAAAAGAAGATACTCTCCTCCCCATTCATAATTAAGAAGTATTTATAATAATCTTAATTGATATAATCACTTTACTTTCATTATTACTATTTTGTAGGTAACACCCTGATTAATAAACAGTTTCAAGGGAATAAAATAAGAGAAAAATAATTTCAGTGATCGAAAATGTCTTATAATATACGATTTTAACTAATTTTTTTTGGATTTGTCAAAATGACCAACAAAATCGCAACGCGATCTTAAATTCGCAACGCGAACTCTAACTTCGTAACTCAGTTTCCAAATTCGTGTTGCGATAGTCCAAATTCGCGTTGCGATTTTCCATTTCGCGTTGCGATAGTCCAAATTCGCATTGCTATATCGCAACGAGATCTTAAATTCGCAACTCAGTTTCTAAATTCGCGTTGCGATAGTCCAAATTCACATCGCGATTTTTCATTTCGCGTTGCGATAGTCCAAAATCGCATTTGCGATAGTCGAAATTCGCGTTGCGATTTTCCATTTCGCGTTGCGATAGTCCAAAATTGCATTTGCGATAATCGAAAAATCCCCCTTGTTATCTTTCACTCAATAAGGAAGTGAGAAATTCAAACCTTAAATACTCATTCTCAATAGTGTTTTCAATACAATATGAGATTGAACATTGTAAGTTACATGCATTGACTATAAATACAAGAGCAAGACTATCGCAACGCGAAATGAAAAATCGCAATGCATTTTGGAATATCGAAACGCGAAATGGAAAATCACAATGTGATTTTGGACTATTGCAACGCAAAATAAAAGATCGCAATACGATTTTGGACTATCACAATGCGAAATGAAAAATCACAATGCGATTTTGGACTATCCTAACGCGAATTTGAAAACTGAGTTACGAATTTAAGATCGCGTTGCAATATCGCAATGCGAATTTGGACTATCGTAACGCGAAATGGAAAATCACAACGCGAATTTGGAAACTAAGTTGCGAAGTTAGAGTTCGCGTTGCGAATTTAATATCGCGTTACGATTTTATTGGTTATTTTGGTAAATCTAAAAAAATTGATTAAAATCGTATATTATAAGACATTTTCGGTTACTAAGATTATTTTCTCATAAAATAAATATCTGTGGCGTTTCCAGGATCAAATGACATGAAAAACGAAGCCAATAATCAGGATGACCACATGTATTGATATAGCGTCTGAGCCATTATGCCAAGAGGAACTAATCATCCCCCAGAATTGGTAATAGACGCATTCACTAATCATCCATTAATTTAACAACTAGGATTCAGAGAAAATTTAAAGAGATTAAACGAAGATAATTGGGGATTTAGAAGCTCATTGGAAGGAGAAGTCGTTAAAAAGATAGGGCTCACGGCAGATCTTCCAATAAGAAAGATCCAAATCCACTGCCCATCAACACTCGAGTGCTTTTATCTCATCATAGCAAAGATCAAATCATCCCTTCTAGGCACAAAATTGTGCTAAAAATTTAAAAAATAAAATAAGGTAAGGCCTCAGTGTGTGTAACAATCAGATCATCGATGTTAAAATCTCACTGAAATCCGCTAAGATAATTTTAAATTATCATCATTAGCCTCAATAATTTCGGAAACTAAAACAAAAATTAGGGTAAAGAAGGTTACTCAGACAGCCAAGGGTTAGTCTTCAACTTCTGGGAGAAGAGCCCAGATCAGAAACTCTAGTCCACAAAAAGATTGCTTCATCGTCGCAATCTTCTTCGCTTGTAAATCTTACAGGAAATTAAGAACAAAGAAAGCAATTGAAAAACCTTGACGAATCTTAATATCTATTTAATGAAATGAAAAACACCAATAAGGGAGCTGAAAATATGGATGGGAAGGGGAGGTTCGAAGGAGAATATATAGAGTGTGAATGATGGCTGAAATTAGGTTTTTCAAAGAGTTTGTGTTTGGGCTAAGGTTAAGGTGTTCGATTGGATTAAGGGATTTGCTGGCGGCTGAAACCTAGAGACGAGCTATTTGGTTGGGCCGAGACTTTCGGGCTATGACTCGACTAGGAATAGGTACGAGACTTGAACCGATGGGTTTCAATTTGACTTGATCCAATCAGGTCGAATATTTTTAAAAACAATTTGACTTTGAGTCGGGTTGAATCAAGTTTTTTTAGAAAATATGTTTGTGTTGGGTCAAGTTCGGGTTTAGAATGAAAAATACCCGACTCGACTTGATTTTTTTTAAATGTGACACGAAAAATTACTTTGTACATTTAGGGACATTTACAATAATAACCCTCAATATATCTAATTTTTTTGGATAAAAATAACACCAATCGAGTTGAGTTTCGAGTGGAGGGTTTATATTTTCAGGTTAGGTCAGGTTGACCAAAAACCCGACCCAACCTGAGTCATGCCCATCCCTAGACTCGATTTTGAATTGGTCTTCAACCTTCAAAATTAGTCCTCAAAGTTTCAAAAATTCTAATTTTATCCATACACTATGACATTTATTGTAAATTATTTATCAAACTTTTGAATTTTTCAATTTTGATCATTAAATTTATCTAAATATGTAATTATTTTCAACCATAATTTAACTTCAATTTTATTTTATTTCCCAAACATATAGTAATATAGTTTCGTCTAACGATTTTATTAACATGTGATATGATTAGAATATACCGATAGTTTGAGATGAAGTTGAAATGTTAAAAAGTTTAGGGTAAACTACGAATTTAGTACTTAAACTATCAGTTCTGGTCCGTTTTAGTATCTAAACTTCTATTTTTTTCAAAACCATACCTAATGTTTAGTTTTTCTTTCATTTTAGTACATGTCGTTAAAAATTCAACGCGTTTAGTACCTAAACTATCAATTTTGGTCCATTTTAGTACCTAAACTTTCTTAATTTAAAAAAAAAACTTAGCGTTAAATTTTGAATGGGGTACTAAAATGAAATAAAAAACTAAACTTTAGTATGTTTATTTAAAAAACAAAAATTTAAGTACTAAAACGGACCAAACTAATAGTTTAGGTATTTAACGCGTAGTTTACCCAAAAGTTTATGAATCAATATAGAACGACGATCATAATTTGGGGATGAAATTAAATTTGAGAACTATTTTAAAATAGGAGTCATGGTTTTTTGATGAAGTTGAAATGCTCAAAAGTTCAAGGATTAATTTAGAATGAAAGTCATTATTTTAGGGTGTCTAATTGTCATACAATTAAATCTTAGAGGGCGTTTGGTTCGTGAAAAAAATCATTACCAAGATGAATAACCTTTTTCAGAATTGTATTATCATATTTGGTTCACGGAAAAGATCATTACCAGGTAATAACTTAATACCAATTGTAACATTTTAGGGTTAAAATGGTGTGAATTTCATTACATCCAAATTCTTAGATAATGAACAATTCCCATCACTTTTGACACAAATACCCCTAAAAGAATAAATTATTTCATATAAATCATTCTCAATTCTTATTTTCCATGCTTTACTCAAAATTTTAAACTTAATAATAATAATATATAAAGAGTTTAATTTAATAGAATATTAATAAACTTGAGTAGTTGAAATTATTTTATATTTTTAATATTTAGTATATTAATTATTTTATAATTTTATGGGGTGAAAATATTATTATTATAAAGATGTAATTATTTAAAATAATATTTAATTTTGAGTTATTAAAAAATAGATATTACACATTAAAAAACAATATGTTTGTCCACTCTAGATCTCAATATTATTTTTCATATTACATTATATTTTATATAAATATATATGATATTTATGAGAATTATTTAAAATTATAAATTTGATGTACTAATTATATTAATTATATGTTAAATATATTTTTTCTTTAAACTTAGATATTGTAATAATTAAAATATTTGTATAAATTTTCATTTAAATATTTATAATTATAAGCTAATATTAAAGTTTTACTTATTAAAAAATATATATCACAAGGATAATTTGATAAATTATGCATCTAAATAATCTTATATTCCTCCAACCAAACAATATAATATTACATTCTTGCTAAGTAAACCAAACAGAGTAATACACCGTCGATAATCTTATTCTCATAGATAATATTATATTCCGTCAATCAGACTAAAATGCACCCTTGAAAATTGAAACACCATGCTCAATTGTTCGCGACATTACACTGACTGGAACTACATAAACAACAAAACATCCCCATCCCCATACAAATCTGGAGAGATTTACGAAGAAACAACGAAGTTATCTTCACATGCTTTATTCCCTTGACCCATTCACTTAATAAATAAAATTACAAACCAAATTTTAAAACAAATCAATTTTGATGTTGATTGTCGATTTATAGTTCAATCAATTAAATACGATTTTTATTTAACTGTTGACAAGTGCACATTGCTTCCGGATCTCACCTTCGGTTCCGGTCTTAACATCAACCCGGCCCATTTTCTCCATGGATTTAGTAAACTGATTAAAGAAGAACTGTGGCGGACTCGAGAGGAGTTGTCTTATAAGAGCCAAAGTCGTTGCATTCGTAGTTAAAGCCGCATCCGATTGGAAAAGGCCCCTCCTTTTTGAGTAACGAACTGTAGTAGCTAAGATCAAACGTTTTTCGACTTCCTGGGTCCATCTCGAGTATCGTAGTGTTATCATTTGGGGTCGTACACTTTTTCGCCTTTAGGTTCTCGGCGTACTCGCTATCCATCGTCGGGTCGAGCCCGCCGGGGCCGGTGGAGTTGAACAATCGGGGAGAAACACCCGCGCAATGAGATATACCTATGGTGTGTGCACCTAAAAGAAGGAGACGATTTGATAAATGAACCGAATGAATCGAAACCGTAAAATGACGATCGGGTTATCGTGTTGTACCGGAGAGGATGACCAAGTCGTTTGTGTCGAGTCCTTTGTTGTTGAAAAGTGTAAGGAGGGTAGTGAAGTTGTTGAATGGTCCCGGGATTTGGTTATTTGCTTCAGTCACATTAGTGATTGTTCCATCCCTTCTGCCTGTTGGAACTTGCCAGTATGGTCCTCCCTGTGACGTGATGAACGGTTAGTGTTTTCGCCTTTTCGGTGTATGGGGGTAAAAATTGAAATAATTTTAAGTTATTTTCTTACCGTGATTGCGACCGAGTCGCGTGCGACCAAAGAGACGATATCGGCACACGAGACGACCCCGGGGCATTCGGCTTCGAGGAGACTCTTCACCGCATCGATGAAAGCGAAGCCCCTCAATGTTCGGTTCGGGACAGCGTTCTTCTCCCCGGTTGTCGAGTTTAGAAGGACAGATCCATCGCAACCCTGGAAAAACAACGAAACAAACATCGAACATAGATCGTAAAACGAACAATCGGAGCCAAAAAAACCCGAGAAAGAGCGACGAAATTCTACCCTGACGAAGCAATCGTGGAAGTGCATTCTCAAGAAAGCAGCAGCGAGGGATGGAGCATTAGGAATGTGCTGCTTGACGTAGTTTAGCACAATCTGCTCAGCTTTAGGACAGCTCTTGGCGTAAAAATTCACCTGCAACTGAGCATCAGTTGAGCTGATGATCAATGCTAGAAGTCCAAAGACGACGACAATCCCCAGAAAGCTTGCTGTTCCTGCCATGTTCACTCAGATGTTTCTTTGAAGACAGCAAAGTTTGATGTTTTGAAAACCAAGGGAAGGTTTTTATAGGCGTGGATTTTCAACTACTGTGTGATTAAATAATGGTACAATAACAACGGGTTAGTTTTAGAGTAAAACAGTTTGATATAGTTTAAGCAACGTATCAGGTTTAAATCATTGTGTAGGTAAAAAATCCCGCTAGCAGATGTGGGATCCGAGTTTGTGTAGATTAGTCAAGGTGAAATCTTGGAACTAGAGACAAAATAATAATAATAATAATAATAATAATAGTACAATAACAAACAATTAGTTGGTCTAGTGAGATGAAACATTAGGTCTTTAAGCAATGTCACGTGTTCGAATTCTGACGTTTGCGGATGGAACAAATTGGATTGATAAAGGTTACCCTCGTCGCTGTACTATCCGATCTGGATTAATCGGTTATTAAATCAATATCACTGATTAATTTAAAAAAATAATGGTAAAGAAATAAGATAATGAAGCCTGTGTCGTTCACGTTGCCTGTCTTAAAATATACTTGCATCATTTCTGAGTCAAGCTCAAGTTATTAAACAAGTTCAGATGGAATAGTTTAGTTCATAAACAGTTCAGCACTCGAATAATAACATTAAATAAATAAAGCAAATTAAATTAGAACGGTCACTTTTATAATACGCATTTACCGTTAATTTTGCCCAAACTTAAAACATTATACGATAAACTATGCATTTAGTACTAAAATTATCAGTTTTGGTCTGTTTTAGTATTTTAATTTTTTTTAAATCATACTTAATATTTAGTTTTTATTTCGTTTTAGTATCTCTTCGTTAAAAGCTTAACGGGTGATTTAGGCGTGAAATCTTTTTATGGGTAAAATACATCATTCATCACTCAACTTTCTCCCCACTCCTATTTTGGCCACTAAAGTTTATTTTTTAATTTAATTACTTAACTTTCAAATTAATCCTAACTTAATCACTCAAACTTTCAGATTTATTTTTTATTATCTATTAATATAATAAAAAATATCATGTCACTAAAATTATTAATAAAATAAATCAGAGTGATTAAAATATGAGCAATTTAAAAGTTGAGTAGTTAAAAAAATTTCAACTTTAGTATCAAAATATGAGTGAGAAGATAGATAAGTGGTGAATGATTTACCCATAAAAAATGCAGTTTCGTTAATTTTTTAACGGCAAGATACTAAAATAAAACAAAAACTAAACATTAGGTATGATTTTGAAAATTTAGGTACTAAAAAGGACTAAAATTGATAGTTTATATACTAAACTCGTAATTTATCCTAAAATTATTTTAGGTTTTTATTAATTAATCATTAAGCTTAACTTTGAATATCTGATTTCATCCTCAAACCGTGAATCACATTCCAAAATAGTCCTTGAACTTTTGAATCTTCTAATTTCATCCCCAAATTCATTCAAATATATAATCAGTGTCAACCATAGTTTAACATGAATTTCATTTTTTTTCCAATTTAAAACGAGGGTCATAGTTTGATGATGAAATCAGAATGTTAAAAGATTTGGAGAATAATATAGATCGAGAATAATAGTTTAGGGATAAAATTAGAGTATTCAAAAAATACAAGGGTTATAGTTTGGGGAATAATTAATCCGACCAGTCAATAGATAATAGTACAAGGGTGGCAGAGGCAAGCATGCATGTTAAGGACCCAGGGTTGGTGGATTTTGATTCATGAATGTGATAACGGTACACTGAAAACCATGTGAGATAAGAACAAGATAATATAGTTGAATAAAATCAATTGGTTCACCTGCTAGATGGCTATCATATATTATATACATTTTTATCTCTGTTAAGCTGTATATATCTACTTTTCAATTTCAATAATTTGGTGCCACTATTATTCTTTTAACTTACAACTTATCAATTAGATATATTTCGATTATGCATGAATCAAGCGGACTCCGTGGTAAATGAATTATTATTATTCCTTCAGGATCCGAGTTTGAGCACCATAACACCATAGGTGTAAACGTTCATTGTCGAAAGATTGAATTATCTATAAACAAATACTACCTTGTACCTACCTAAATATATTTCAAATATTCTTATAATCATATTATATAATTAATTGAAATAATAATATACTATATATAATTATGACAATATTTTTTGAATTAATCACTGGTATTCGATCTATTGACCTACTGATCCAAATCGGGTACTGCAGAGGCGAGGGCTACCCTCTCAACCCAGTTTGCTCTATTGGCAAACGTCAGGATTTGAACTCCTGACCTTGCTTAAGGGACCTATAAATTATTTTTCAAATTATAATGATTTTAATGGTTTAAAATAGAATTTATTAAGTTTTATATTTGTATTTTTTGGGTCAAATTTGACTTTGCTAATAATTAACGTATTAATTAATTAATTAATTAAGGATCGTTCCACTTGAACTCAGCCTATGTGCTTATATCCGCATATGGGTAATTGCATGTGCTACTTGGCTTGCATGGTTAAAATTAGTTGTAATATTAATTAATAAATATCTTTGTCAAATATTCTTGCTTAAAAAACGAATCAGTGTCGGTGGTTATATAAAGACCAGATTTGTAATTGTTTTCATTAATTAAAACTAACTACGTGTTAAGATTTCGCTAATTCTGTGCAGTTTATTTTGCCTTAAGCTTCGGATAATAGGCTAAAATTTCGAATATTATTTTTTAATATTTTTGTCTCAATTATTTGTTATTGGAATTCGAGAACTTTTTTTATTTAATGGTAAATACAATTATGACTTTCGTAAAAAGGACGAGTCTACAATAAGTGACATTCATGGAAATGCACCACTAACTACATGTACCGCTGATTAAAAATAGTCACAATTTTTTAAGTTTATTTTATTTATCATTGAATTTTCAAAAGTTACAAAATCGATATTAAACTTTGAATTTTGTTTAAAAAAATAACAATCGTTAAATGTTATTAAGGAGTGAGTAACATACTAAATTAATGAAAAATACCTTATTTAGTCAGTCAATTATAACTAAAATTTCACTTTAATATTTTTCAACATTTTTAAGTAGTGATTCTAAATAATTGCAATTTTTTGAATTTTTTAAAAATATATGAAAATAAATTGTTCTAAAAATATTCAGTTATCAAACAATGAAATTAATTTTTTTTATTAAGTAAAATTTATTTTATAACTAATTATTTATTTAATTGTTGTATTTTTAAAATAAAAAATTTATAATTTTCGACGTCCGAAAATTTATATATCAAATAATAAAATTATTTTTTTAGTAATGATGTATCGTAATTTTATTTTGTATATTTGGGTTACAATTTTTTTCATTTTTTCATTTTTAATTGTTTTTAATATAAAAATGATAGATAATTTTATTTATTATTATAGCACGTTTTTTTTGGATAAATTTCTCTCTCTTATATTTATCCAAGAAGCAGTAGAAACTCACTGCTACAGCCAAAAACAGACATCCAAACCAGAGACAACCTCCTAGGGAGTGCTAATCCCCCAAGCTAGACAAAGATTACAATTAATAGCATTATTCTTAATAGCTATTCTAGCAGCTTTTATCCTAATTACATCCTTAATGCAATAGATCACATCATCAATCTCCCTATGAATGCTCCTAAACTGCCTATGATTCCTCTCTTCCCATATACAATATATATATGCACACCAGGCTAATCTAAGAATAAACGAATGAAGAGTCTTACCTCTGAATCGAGATAACGCCCAGTCCAGTTCCTCCTCCTAATTTCCCACAGTTCTATCAATGCTACACAGCCGCATAATCCCTTACCAAACGGCCTTTGAAAAGGGGCATTCAAAAAAAGATATGGCTGCGAGTCTCACACACAACATCACACAATCTGCACTTATCATTCATCTCAATCCTCAACCGAATCAACCTATCAGCAGTAGGCAACCTATCAAGGACCGCCATCCAAGCAATGAGGGAGTGCTTGGGTATATGCATGGGGAACCATATAATCTTCTGCCACCCAACCTTCTCCTTCCTCCCCCTAAGCCCCTGCCACAACCATCGAGCATTGACCTTGTCCCAATCCGTGATTCCTACAAACAGAGGATATACTTCCTCCCTGGCTTTCAAAATTTTCCTCAAGCTCCAGCTGAACGAGGCTTTGCACTCCATAGACCAGAAATCAGCCCCTTTAAGAACATATGTCCTCACCCAAGCAACCCAAAGAGAGCCCTCAGCAACAAGAATCTCCTTAACCTTCAGAATTATACAAGCCTTGTTCCAACATTTCAAATTCTTAAGGCCCAACCCCCTTCTGATTTAGGGGTACAGATTACCTCCCAACTCACCCGAGCCCCCTTAGCTGGAACATCACCTCCCTTCCAAAAGAACCTAGCACAAAGCTGGTCCACTCTTTTAACCACAGCAGCAGGGAGAATAAGCTGCCTGCACCAAAAATTGGCAATACTGAACAGAATATCTTTCACTAGTTGTAATCTGCCAGCATAACTCAACCATCTATTGGACCAAATTCCAAGCTTAGCTTTAATTTTTCTCCACCAGATTAACACAATCCTTCTCAGTTAATTTCCTGGGGACAAGAGGTACTCCTAAATATCTCACAGGGAGGCAACCAATTTTGAATCCAGTAACCTCATGCACCAAAGCCTTTTGATTACCATTGACACCATCAATAAAAATTTCAGTTTTGGAAGCATTAAGCCTCAGTCCAGATATCTCATAGAACCTCTCCAAAACACATTTCACCCTAACATTTGAATCTAAACTAGCTTTGCAAAAGATAAGTAGATCATCAGCAAAACATAAGTGAGTTAGGTTCACCTTTCTGCACTTAGAATGAAATTGAAAAATCTTTTCAGAGGCAGCAATGCCAAGCAACTTGGAAAGAATGTTCATGGCTATCACAAATAGGTAGGGGGACATAGGATCCCCCTGCCTAACTCCTCTACCACCTTTGAAGAACCCCACAAGGCTTCCATTCAACACAATGGAGAATCTAGAGTCCATAACACAAGCCACTATCCAACTTATAAACTGCTTTGGCAACCCTAACCCCTTCAGAATAGCAAGCAAAAATTTCCAGCTTATAGAATCAAAAGCTTTCTGCAAATCAGCTTTAATAGCACATCTAGGGGAAATAAAATTTCTACCATACCCCATAACAAGCTCCTGTGCCAAAAGAGTATTACCTTCAATATTTCTATCCTTCACGAATGCTGACTAGTTGGGGGCTATCATCCTAGGGAGGAATTTAACCAATCTATTCACCAGAATCTTAGTAACAGTTTTATAAAAAGCTGAGCAACATGATATGGGTCTAAAATCCACAGCTTTACAGGAATTGGGTTGCTTAGGAACTAATGCAATGGCTGTGGAATTAAACGTTGGAAGCATTCTAGAGGATTCAAAGAAGTACCTTACAGCAGCTATGAAGTCAGCTCCCACAATGTCCCAGGCAAAATGAAAAAACCAGCAGTAAATCCATCAGGGCCAGGAGCTTTATCCTTGCCCTGATTCCAAATGACCACTTTGATTTCATCATTAGAGACAGCTTTCACCAAATTAGTATCAGCACCTTCAAGAAGTGTGAACCCCAGCAGGTCCCTTAGGAATATGTCAGAACACCCTTGAACATTATCATCAATAGAACTAATCTGCATAGTGAAGTGACTTACCAATTCTTCAGCCATAGCCTCAAAAGTTTCTAGTTTGTTACCCCTCTCATCAACCATAACTCTAATTGTGTTTCTTTTCCTTTTGACAGCAACTTGAGCATGGAAGAACTTAGTGCACTGATCCCCATCTAGCAGCCAATCCACCTTGGCTTTTTGCTGATAGAATATCATTTCAGCCTTTTTTAATTCAACAAGCTCTTGATGCAGTTTTTTTTCCACAACCACATCATCAAGACTCCCTCCATTTAGAACCACTACCTGTTGTTTCTCCAAATGTTCTCTCTTTTCAGCAACTTTCTCAGAGATATTAGAATAACATTTTCTGTTGAATGCTTTCAACACAGGCTTCAACCTCTTCATTTTGTAGAATAAAGCCTGCATAGGGTCCCCCTGCACAGCCTCAGTCCAAGACTTCCCAACAACCACCTTAAATTCTGGATGTAAAGCCCAGAAATTAAAGTATTTAAATGGCTTTTGCCTTGAAGCAAGGCCTTCATGGAAGTACCAAGTAACAGCCAAACAGTGGTCAGACACACCTGGTGCTTGAAACTCTACATGAGAATTTGGGAATGCCTCACACCATTTATCATTAACAAGCACTCTATCTAACTTCCTATCAAGGAAGCCCTCTTCATGTTTATTAGACCAGGTGAAAGTAGGCCCAAAAAATGGATGTTCCTCAAGCCCCAAATTATCCATACAATTTCTTAGATCCTCCATTTCAGAAGTAAGGTGCCCATCTACATAATTTGAACTCTCCTCATCTTTAGCAATTACATTAAAATCCCCCCCAGCAATCTAGACATTGTTTCCAACCAAAGAACTAACTTCAACAAGCTGGTTCCATAGCTCCTTCCTAGAAGCACCAATGTTACTACCATACACAGCAGAAATAACTACATTTCTACCACCCAAGCAGCCCTGAACAGTAACAGACTGATCAGCCACTTTCAGAACTGAGAAGAGCAAATTCTTCCTCCATAGGATCCAGATCCTACCATTATCCAAGCAACTGTAGTTCCAACAATAGCTCCAATCCTTATCAAACTGTGCAACCATATCCAAGGCCCTAATTTCCTTAATTCTTGTTTCTAGCAAACAAAAAACCTCAACTTGTAGCTTCTTCACACGTATTATAATATTTTTTTGTTTTTTGGGGTGATTAAAACCCCTAACATTCCAAAAGACTACAACCATGATGCAGGAAAAGAGTGAATACCTCCTACTTGCTCACCAAGCTTCTTTGTCTTTTCAAGATGGTCTTTCTTCTTGTTTTTCATTTCCAGCAGGATGTTGGCAACACCCTGGGATGCAAGTCTTGGCTTCCTACCCTCATCCTCCTCTACCAAAGATCCCAAGACTTCAAACTTGTTAGAGGAGCTAGCAACAGGCACTTTTACCTTATCACCTTTTTTCCCCTTACCTCTACATGAGAAGTAGGGTCTAAAGGTAAAGAAGTATCACCCTTGGAAACCACCCTCCCCACACTGCCAGTAACCATATCTTCTTCAACAGCCTTTAGTTTTTGTCCAGAAGCAGACTGACCCTTAAGAGATACCACAGCAGTATCCATACCACCCACTGGATCTGTTCCAAGAACATCTTTAACAACAACAGAACTTAGCCCACCAATCTCCTTTTCCATAGAAGCCTTCAATTCAGCTGTATCCAAAGGTCTTTCCAAAGTAGGTTCCACTGAACTACCCACTCCAATCTCAAGAGTTTCAGAGGGCTTTCCTTTAACTCTCTATTCTTTTTTCTTTTCAATACCTCCAACAGTGCAAATTTTATCCGAGTGTCCAAAAATCTTACACTTGGAGCACCATGAAGGAAACCAAGGAATCACCACTATCACAGAGCAGACTATCCCATCTCGCAACTTAATTGCAATAGAACGAGGCAGCCGAACACCAGCTTCAACTTCAACACAAACCTTTGCAAACTCTAACCGCTCCTTGGAGGCTGTAATCGAGTCCATATATAGTGGGACACCTAGGGCACTAACAACATAACTAAGCCCTTTCTTGGAGTAAAGCTCAAGAGGGATATTATACAACTGAACCCACACTGGCATCCTTTCCAAATTGAAATCAAGGCGCTTCAGATTGGGTTCCCACTTCCTCAGCACCAGCGGTTTGTGCTGGATATGCCAGGGTCCATTCTCAAGAACCCAGTCACGACTAGCACCATTAGCAAACAAGAAAACGTAAAGTTTAGAACCATCAATACTAACCTTTGCAATTGATTTCCCCCACATAATTTCCACCAGCTTTTGCAGGGAACCAAAATTGGGAGCAGACCCAATAAATTGCCCTACCAGAGAAAACTGCCACTCCGAGACACCCTCCTCAAAAACATCACTCGGAGGAACCACCGTCGTGAAACCCTCATTACACTCCTGAGGAAAAAAAAATCCAGTGATTGCTCCTCAATGCCAGAGAACAAGCTACGCCAATCCATAACCCTCAACTGGATCCCATTCCAAGCAAATCAAACAAACAAAACAGCAAAGAACCAGGGGAAGAACCCTAAAATCCAAGAACAATAGACCAACTATCGAGAGGAAAAACGGTTATTTCCCTGGCGGTTATTTCCCTAATTGAGGGACTCACATATTGTTTTGCTAAAAAAATAGCACGTTTTTTCATAATTAAATTTGTTCCTATTAATGTCTATTTGTTTATCTTTTTTATTTACCATTACTTTCAACCATTAGGGCGATTATCTTTTATTGATAGGTTTTTTTAATTATCAAAGACAAATTGTGGTTTTTTTTTAAATAAAACTATAACTATTATTAATTCTTTTGAAAAAGGATTAAAACTTAATTAAAAATGAAGAGAGTAAATTTTCTAAATATAAAGATTAAATCTTAAATTTTATTAAATAAAATTATAACTATTATTAATTTTATTAAATATCATAAAAATAATAAAGAATAAAGTACATTAGAGGATATTGAAATATGTTCAAATGATTATTTTACTTATTGAATTTTTAAAATTACAAAATGATAATTACACATTTAGTATCTAAACTATCAATTTTGACCCATTTTAGTACTTAAACTTTTATTTTTTTCAAAGCATACATAAAGTTTAATTTTTGTTTCATTCTAGTATTCCGTTCAAAATTTAACACTAAATTTTGGGGGGAAATACAAGTTTATGTACTAAAAAGGACTAAAATTAATAGTTTAGATACTAAACGCGTGAATTTTTAATAGCGGGTACTAAAATGAAACAAAAACTAAATGTTGGTAATGATTTTAAAAAAATATGTATTAAAACAGATCAAAACTAACAATTTAGTTATTAAATGTTTAATTTACCTTTAAATTTATTAAATTAATATTAGATTTTATCAAATTTTTATATTTATTATAACGTCATCTTATAATAATTTGATAAATTTAACGAACAACCAAAGCATATATTTTGCATTAACCCTTCTATAACTAAGCAAAGATTAAACCCTAAAAAATATTGTAATTATTAATCAAATCAGCACGGTCCCCTTTCGATCCCCGTTCGTGTTACGGCTGGTCATAGTTTTCTATTCGAACACCCAGGCCAAACAACTGTTAAGAATTGTTACTTACGAATCAAGCGACTTCATTAATAAAGAAATCGTTATTATTTTTTGAGGTTTCAAATTTGAACATCAAGAATATCAGAGACGTGAACATTAAACTTCAAATAGTTGACAGTTATTAGGCCCGTTCCTGAGCACTGGCAAAAGGGGCACTCGCCCGGGGTCCAACTTCCTTAGGATCTAAAACTATAAATTTATATATAATTAAAAAGGATATATTATTTATTTAATCACTCATTTATTATTTTTTTTGTTTTGACCATCCAATTATTATTTTTCTCCAAAATCATACTTAACGTTACATTTTGTTTCTTTTTTGTTGCTCATCACTAAAAAATAACAACGATACTAAAGTGATATTTTTAAATTATTTTTTACAAATTCTATAATTTTTTTTATATATTAACAACTTTAATGATAAAAGGGAATACTTTTTTTTAAATATCTCGGGTTCGAGTAGTTATGTCTGTAGGACGTGTGTGTTGTTAACGATTAAGAATGATTTTGAATATATACTACCTTATAGACATTTCAAACTACTCAAAAAATTAATATTGTATGGTTATTTTATTTTGAATAAATAATTATTTAAAAATAGGTGTTTAGAATTTTAGAATTTCATTAATGTAAAAAATAATTATAAAAGAGCATTAAAAACAAATACAAATCATAATTTTATTTTATTTTATAACGAGACTCTGTACATTAAATACTGTTTTTATTTTTATTTTTTTATTAAACTGAAGTGATTATAATATAGTCTATATTTTACAAATTCTAAATTATTTGACAATGATTGATTAAACATCGTTTGGGTGAATTTTTTTAAATGGTATTGTTTTTAATGACTAAACCCGGTCCAACCTTTAGAAACGCTGATCAATGCGACACTAGAAAAATACACCATTCTGAGAAGTTCTACGGTGCGGCAGCCTTAATATACAACTAAAAAAAGGTGCTACCGATTTTATTATTATTTTTAACAAAACTGGTAAAAAATTACTTAAAACATTATTATTTATACCAATTTTGTTATTATTGTTAATTACCGGTGTTGGTAAAAGCGATAGAAAAACATGGTAAAACAAATAATGTTTTACGTAACGTTTTACCGGATATGTTACTAAAACCGGTAAAGCGTCTAATAATAATAAAACCGGTAGAAATAATAATGTTTTAGGTAATTTTTTACATGTTTTGTTAAAAATAATAATAATAAAACTGGTAACGTATTTTTTACCCGTATATTAAGGCTGCCGCACGTGATCATTTCTCCACCATTCCATCTATTTCTTTCTTTCTTTTTTTGTTGGTTTTATTTTTTATTTAATTTTTTTTGCTGAACAACTCGATTGCTATTCATTGCTTAAACATGGGCTTTCCCCAGAGTGAAACAACTCGAATATCACCAGACAGACAAAAAAAAAAAACATAAAATCTGATGACCGGTTAACTGAGGATCGATCCCCTTGGGAAACATTGTCTATGTTATCTACATTACAAACAGCACGAAGCTCTTAGAAATCGATGATGGGTTCTCCGATGTTAAGGTTGCGTTCGACCGTCCAAGGCAGATCAAAGAGTTTTGCTGTGATGAACTTGAAAATCTTGCTCACGTTGATGTTGTACGTAGCACTCGAAAAGAACAGGGTCGCGTTTATGGCCTTCACATATGCTCTTGCCCTCTTGCCTGCCATTGCCATAGGATTAAGAATCTCAATTGAACCATACCATGAGATAGTTTTCTTACAGACAATAATGAACTTGACTGTGCATCGCATCAAGGACAACACAATCCATGATACTAAACAGAGCCCAACTACAGCACGAAGAGAGAGACTCGTTTCATATTTGTTTTTGACACATTCGAACACGTGTTTAGCGTACGATACTCCAAATATCCGATAACAGGATACGATGAAAGGGGTGAGATTATTTTCCTAAACTATTAGATTAGAAGATAATTTGCGCATATACAAGCTCAAACTTATAACCTCATGTTACTGCAAAAGCAACAATGCTAACTCAATCAGCCATTTGTTCTTCATTTCTAATTCTAAAACATTGATTTGGTAATTATTGTATGAAAATTCTCCAAAAGGGTGTTTTTAATTCTCAAAGCAAGTGGAATATGCATTTTCGGACATGTTGGTTATGATTTAAAGCTTCAACTAGAACTGTAAACTTCACCTGACTAGCTATTGTCCACTGAAAATCTAAGGGGAGATCAGTGAAATCATCGAACTTGGTTCCTATCAAAATCGGTATTGCTGTCTGCATAATCAAAGTTTTCATGATAATGAGACATTTTCTAAACATATATAGACACACACACACCACACATATATGCCGATGAGACGCTCCACACAGCATCAGTATCACCACCACCTACTGATTGGTATTGTCCTCTTTGTATACACTGGCGTTCGTAAGTTTTTGTCACCCTAAGGTGTGTCGTCGTCCCAGATTCGAACTCAATATCTCCTATTCTTATAGGAGTCCGTTTTGCAACTCCGATATCATATGATCCAGCACCAAATTGTTCATAAAAATAACCTCAGGGTGACAAAACCTTCCAAAAAGGATAATACCGATTTGTGTGCTGTGTCGATACTCGATACTGAGCGATACATAACAGGTCTCGCAACAATATATATATATGTTGCGGAAGACGGCTATCGGATAGAGCAAAATCGCAACTAATAATTTGAGAAAATAAAAATGAAGATAAAAGAGACACAAAATTTACGTGGAAAACCCCTACAAATTTAGGGTAAAAACCGCGGGCAAATGTAGAATAATTTCACTATGAGAAAATAGGAATTACAACATCTCTCGATCTACCAAGGAGAAAACAATGATAATTCTCTCTTGATAAAAAGGAGAAAACAACTTCAAGAAACTCTCTAAATTCTCTAGTATTTGGAAGAAAGCTAGAATGCTTTAGGATGATTTTGAAGCTAAATGAGCTAGGATATTTATAGTTGAAACTTAAGGACTAATCTTATAAATACCCTAAATTACAATGACTAAAATTAATTATCCCATTACCCAATTTCAACAAAAAATAGGTGCCTAATTTTTGACTTTGACAAAGCACCATTTTGTGCCTAATTTGGTGCCTAAATTATTTGACTTTTAACAATCTCCCACTTGAAGATTTGATTGGAATAATCATATCTTCACACCATTCTTTCTACCTTGTACCTTCATGTTGCTTACGTTTCTGACAGGCCACAGGAGGATCGATACCAGGTAAATTTATCAGCGTTGATCTCCTTCGTCATGAAATCTGCTATGTTGTCTTTGGTATGGATCTTCTGCATATCTACTGTCCCTTCTTCCACCTTTTCACGAATGAAATGGTACTGAACTCGTATGTGTTTTGTCCTTGAATGAAATGTTGGATTCCTTGCTAGATGCAAGGCGCTTTGACTGTCACAAAACAGAGAGACATACTCTTGATTGTGCCCAAGCTCCTCCAATAGCATCTTCAACCAAATTGCTTCTTTACTGGCTTGTGTAGCTGCTACATATTTTGCCTCTGTTGCGGATGTAGCCACAATTGACAGTAATTTTGAAACCCAGCTTACAGCTCCACCAGCAACTTTGAACACATATCCTATAGTAGATTTGCTTTTATCCAAATCACATACGTAGTCAGAATCTACATACCCATTGATTAGTAAGTTTGATCCTCCATAACATAATGCAACATTTGAGGTCCCTTTGATGTATCTCAGGATCCTCTTTACTGTATTTCAATGCTCTTTACCTGGATTCGCCATGTATCGACTAACCACTCCCACTGCTTGTGCAATGTCTGGTCTTGTGCATATCATAGCGAACATTAAACTTCCCACTGCTGATGCATACGGTACTCGAGACATCTCCATCCTCTCTTCTTCACTGCTAGGACTCATACTGGAGGATAATTTGAAGTTAATAGGAAGAGGGGTAGAAATTGGCTTACAATCTTGCATGCTAAATCGTGACAAGATTTTCTTCAAGTAATTCTTTTGTGAAAGCCAAATCTTCCTATTACTTCTGTCTTGGTGAATTTGCATCCCTAGAATCTCTTGTTTGCTGATCCCAAGTCCTTCATTTCAAATTCCCTAGCCAGTTGTGCCTTCAATTCTTCAATATGATCTTTGTTGGGTCCTGCAACCAACATGTCATCCACATACAACAGCAATATAACAAAATCGTTATCACCAGACCTCTTGAAATAAGCACAAGGGTCTGCATTAAGTCTGTTGTATCCAAGGCACATAATGAAGGAATCAAATCTCTTATACCAACACCTCGGCGCCTGCTTTAGACCGTACAGAGATTTGTTCAACCTGCAAACCAAGTTCTTCTTTTCGTCTTCTTCAAAACCTTCAGGTTGGAGCATATAAATCTCTTCTTCAAGATTTCCATGAAGAAAAGTTGTTTTAACATCTAGTTGCTCTAGATGTAAGTTCAATGTAGCACACATTGCCAAAACTACTCGAACTGTTGTTAGTCGAACCACAGGGAGAAAATATTTCATTGAAATCAATACCTTCTTTTTGAGCATATCCTTTGACCATCAGTCTTGCACGATACCTCTCAACTTGATCGTCACCATTTCGCTTGATTTTGAAGACCCATTTGTTACCAATTGGCTTTTTTCCTTGTGGTAGTGGCACAAGGCCCCATGTATTATTTTTATGAAGGGCTTCGATTTCTTCTTGCATCGCCATCATCCACAGTGAAGCATCTGAGCTGTTTATTGCTTCCTGGTATGTTGATGGCTCACCATCCTCTGTTAAAAGGCATTATGCAATATTACCTTCTATAACATAATCTGAGTGCCAATTGGGACGTCTTCTCACACGATCTGATTGATGAGTTGTTGGAGCTTCAGAACTCTCTGGTTCTTGTTCATCATGTGCTGGTTATGCTTCAGAAGAATCTCCTTCTTCAAACTCTTTTTCCACATGTATCTGAGTAGTCTCTGACTTTTAAGCGCTATCATCGTCTTCTTTTCTTTGTAGTTTATCTTCTACTAATGATCACTTTGCGGGCAGTGGGATCCCACAAGCGATACCCCTTTACTCCATCAGCATACCCCAAGAATTTGCATTTCCTGGATTTTGGATCCAAATTTGAAATTTCTTGGGAGTTGTACATCACGTACACTATACTTCCAAATATATGGAGGTTTGAATAATCAGCTGGTTTTCCAGTCCACATCTCCATTGGTGTCTTCAGCTCTATTGCAGTTGATGGAGCTCGATTCACCAAATAACAGGCGGTATTGACTGCTTCTGCCCAGAATGATTTTTCTAGGCCTGCATCCCTCAACATTGCTCTTGTTCTTTCTAACAAGGTTCCGTTCATCCGCTCTGCCACTCCATTTTGTTGAGGAGTGTTCGCCACTGTGAACTGTCTTTTGATGCCTTCTTTCCTGCAAAAGTCATCAAATTCTTCGCTTGTGTATTCTCCTCCATTATCTGTTCTGAAACACTTGATCTTATTTCCAGAATCAAGTTCCACCCGCACTTTGAAGTTTTTGAAAGTTGAAAACACGTCTAACTTCTTCTTAATAAGGTGCACCCAACATGTCCTGGAGTAGTCATCAATAAATGAGACAAAGTATTTTGCTCCACCTAGGGACGTTACTGGTGCTTGCCATACGTCAGAGTGAACCAATTCTAGAACACTTTTGCCTCTAGAATTTGATGTGTTGAATTTCAATCGGTGCTGCTTACTTGTTATGCAATGATCACACAAAGGAAGTGATACCTTTGTTAAGCCTGGAAGTAGCTTTTGCTCCACAAGGACTTTCATTCCTTGTTCTGACATGTGTCCAAGTTTCTGATGCCATAGCATTGCCGAATTTGAACTACATGAGGCAACATAGGCTTCTGCTTCTACCAAAGTCTCTCCATTCAGCATGTACAAGTTTGCAGCTATTTTTTCGCCTTTCAGTACCACAAGCGCTCCACGGAACACTTTCATGATTCCTTTCCGTGTTTCAATCTTGCTTGCATTATTATCCAACAATCCGTAGTATAATAAATTTTTCTTCAGGCCTTTCACGTGCCGCACATCTCGAACAACTTTAATTGTTCCGTCATACATCTTCAATTTGATGGTTCTCACGCCAACGATCTCTAAGGCATGATCATTGCAACTATAAACAGATCCTCCTGAGACAGGTTCATAATGATGGAACCATTCTCTTCTTGAGGTCATGTGATATGTTGCTCCCGAATCAATGAGTCATACATCTGCAAATCGTTTTCTTCCTTCCACGGTGGTTGACGCTTCACAGCATAGAGTATCTCCATCATCTGAAGTGTTTGCGGTATTGCCTTGTGGATTGGAGTTTTTATTTAGACTCCAACAATCCTTCTTCAAATGACCCTTCTTTCCACAGTTGTAACACTTTAAATTCTTTTTGCTCCTCGAATTCAATCTACCATGTTTGTGACTGCTGCTTTGGCCACGTTCTGTTGATCTCCCTCTCATCGTTGTCATCGTTGTCAACGCTTCTGCTTGTTGCAGATTTACTTGTCTGTCTTCCTTGTTCTTGCGCCGATTTTCTTTTTGTAGAACAGAAGCTGCAACATCATCAAAGACAAGACTAGTGACATTACTGTTTGTCAAGTTGATGATGAGTTGATCATACGAATCCGGTAGACTTTGAAGTAGAAGTTCAGCACGT